TTGGTCTATTGAAAACCATTAGCTTCTAATTGAATTGACAGGTTGTGAGCTCATTTAATAACCAATATCTTTACAATCAAACATGTGTATCTGCAGTGGTGATTACAGTGGTTTGGTTTCCTGGATACCTAGAAACTCATAGCCAAGAAGAGGCTATTATTCCCTTTCACAGGCTCTTCACACCTTATGGTGCTTTTTGCAGACTGGAACTTAGAAGAGGGGCTGGCCCACCCAGCTGCCTGGCCTGACCTGTAGGACTGCACGTCCTCTGTGTGGATAATGGAAACTGGGCCACTGTTTCCCTGTGTCAGGACACTGTCAGCAGGAGTAGGAATAATAACTGTCAGGCGTGCAAGATCTAGTGTGTTCCTATGGCAGTGTGCTTGCTCTGTTGGGAAGGTGGCTGCTTGCACAAAAGATAAGATCCTGAAAGGTCATCTTTTATTTGCATGTCAGGGACTACCATGAAGCATTAGAATAGTCTAGTAAGGCTTAGAAGGTTTTTCATACACATCTTGAGGATACTGCTTCCCCGGTAAGAAAACAAAACAAAAACCCTCTTCATTTCTGGACTGAAATATACAGGAAGTTATTGCTCAATTCAATTTGGGTTTGTGGTTTCTAATTTTGAGATGTAAAAAGGAACTTTTATGTTCTGTGATGATGGGTCTCAACTCATTTATTCACTCTAGAACTTCACATATATAGTAGTCATTCAATAAATGCTTGAATAAATAAATGAACAAGTAAATCAGCAAATTTTCTTTAAAACTGATTTTTAATTTTTATGTACATTGGTGTTTTGCCTACATGTATGTCTCTGTGAAGGTGTGGGGAATCCCCTGGAGGTAGTGTTACAGGCAGTTGTAGGCTGTCACATGGTTATTGGGAATTGAACCCATGTCCTCTGGAAGAACGGCTAGTGCTCTTAACTGCTGAACTATCTCTCCAGTCGTTAAATTTCTTAATGTGATTCATTTCAAAGCATTTTTGTATTCTTGGTGGTTAAAATCTAAGAAACAGGCTGGGTGGTGTTGGCACATGCCTTTAATCCCAGCACTCAGGAGGCAGAAGCAGGGAGATGTCTATGAGTTTGAGGCCAGTCTAGTCTGCAGAGCAAGTTCCAGGACAGCCAGAGCTACACAGAGAAATCCTGTCTGAGGATAGGATTGGATGGGGAATCTAAGAAACAGCTGATAGTGATTCTTTTAAATGCACTTAAATTTTGCTTAAGTAACACAAACATGAGAATCTGTGTTTGTGAAACAAATGAAAGTGATTATAACACTTTACAATTGAATAGAGATAGGTCTTAAATTATTTAATACTTCTAGCTTGGCTTTTGGTATTTTCCCAAGTTCATGGAAAACTGTCGATGTTCTGTTTTTTTTCATAAGGCTCAATCAATCAATGTAGAGAAGTGTTCTTTATTCAAAACTTAAATCTTCCCAATTCCCAAGCCAAAAAATATCTCCTGTTTATTAAAATTATGGAGATGGTTGTTCTTGTAAATTTTTTAATTTAAGTAAGTTTTGTTATTTAAAAAATTTGCAAATAATAAAAACACCACATCCACACACCTGAACTTCTATAATTAGAATTGACACTCAGATTGGAAGCTGTGGAGCTTCTTATTAAATTTTACACTTTTACTACTGAATATATTTTATGCACTTATTCACCACCAAAAGCAATGATAATAATAATACCAATCTTTCTATCCTCCCTCCTAACTTGTATCCATCACCTATATTCAGTACTTCCTGATCCCTTTATATTCAGCCTTTCTTATTCTCATTCTTCATACCCACAAGTACATTTGCCTACATGTTACATATATCATTCTCTGGAGTCCCCTTATGAGAGGGAAGATGCAATTTCTTTTGGAGATTGTGTGATCCCACTTAAAAAAGATCCTACATCTAATTTCCTGCAAAATTAACTTTACTTTTCTTTGTTGTTGTTGTTTTGTTTGAGGGTTTCTCTGTGCAGAGCTGGCTGTCCTGGATCTCATTCTGTTGACAAGGCTCACAAAGACCTTCCTGCCTCTGCCTCCCAAATGCCGGTATTAAAGGCGAGCACCCCACTGCCTGACTTAACTTCACTTTTCAAGCTGAGTGGTGAAAACATAAAACTTGAATTAATTAGATGTGTGTGTAAGTCAGAGGACAACTTCCAAATCATTTCTTTCCTTCCACCTAAAGGCGCTAGGGATCAAACTCAGTCTAGCCATCTTGCTCATCTGCTTGCTCTTCTTTAGTTGACAAATTAAAATTGATAACCTTATAAGGGCTCTCCAGCTTCCTGAAAAGTGTTTTCCTGGTATGTGGTATCTGAGCTGCAGCCTAGCTTTCAGATTTGACCCATTTTATAAACTCATATTAGTGTTTACTTATTATTTAGGAAGCAGTATAACTTAGGCTTTATTGAATAATAAATAGCCAAAAGGTACTGCAGGGCTGCTGTGATGGCTTTCGTATTTTTATTACTGTTGCATGTGTAAATATGTGGATGTTGACATGCCATGTCTTCTGGGTGTGTAGTCAGAAAAATATAAAAACAAAACTCTTGGGAATTGGTTCTTTTTCTTTTTTAACCTTTAGATAGATGCCAGGGATAAACCTCAGTTTCATCAGACCTGTGCAGGGCAAACATGTCTGCTTCTAACTGCTGAGCCATCTGGTCAACCTTTAGATGGCATTTAAAATGTATTCACTCATTCAAATTTGATAGCAACTCAGGAAGAAGTGTTCATTTCACAGATGATGCCCTCCAGACAAAATAGCCAAATCCTTGTCCACAAAGACATTTATTATACAGTTAATAAAGTGGCAGAGCTTAGTTGGGCGGTGGTGGCACATGCCTTTAATCCCAACACTGTGGAGGCAGAGGCATGTGGATCTCTGTGAGTTCAAGGCCAGCCTGGTCTACACAGAGAATTCCAGGACAGCCAGAGCTGTTACACAGAGAAACCCTGTGTAACAAAAGGGGAGGGGGCAGAGCTTATATTAAAAACAATGTCTAGAGAACATATATTTAACTTTACTAAGAAATAGAGTTTTGTGACAGAATTGTCAACAGAAAAGTGTTATATTCTGATAACTATGGAAATGAAGATCAATTAATATGTAAATTATATACTCCTGTGCCACACTTAGTATATTTGTCAAAGCCCTTCCTAGTTTTACTTAACCCATTTTTGATGTCTTATTTTTAGCTTAGTGTAAGCAACATCTCCTTAAGCTTCTGTTTTGATTAGTAAATACACACACACACACACACACACACACACACACACACACACACACACACACTTTTTTTTTTTTTTTTGAGACCGGTTTCTCTGTGTAACAGTCCTGGCTGTCCTGGAGCTCACTTTGTAGACCAACCTGTCTTTCAATTTACAGAGATCGTCATGCCTCTGTCTCCCTAGTGCTGGGATTAAAGGCATGTGCCACCACACTTGGTTGTAAACCTATTTTTTAAAGTTTATTTTTCTTTGGGGGCATTTCAATCAAGGAGAGTCTAGAACATTGGCACTGCAAATTTAGACATTACAAATAATTTAGGGCTAATTCAACCATAAATAAGCAAGCTTTACTACGTTTTCTATTTTAAAAAGTACTTAAACCTCAGCTTTCAAGCGTAGATGCACACCCCAACAACAGTTTATTCACAAGATTAAGAACCTTGGGAGATACTCAAGATTTCCCTTAGGAGTCGGAAAGAGCAATAAGTAAATTAGGAAGTTGGATTCATATTAAATTAAAAGCAAACGGCAGTCAAACTAGACAGTTCCACTATGGAATGATAAAAAGAGTCCCAGAGCAAACAAATTAAAAAAGATGTTTCTAAATCTACAGCAAACTGAATTCCACGGTGTTTTTTGTTTTAATGATCTACACTGCCCTTGGTAATGGTACAAAAGTTTCGTTTGGCAGGCGTCTATCATGATTACGTTTAACACAAATTATTATGATAATGTACTACATTAGGCACGCGTTTTATTTCAATATAAACAAAAACCGGCTTTGCTCATTAGTAGGCTCTGGATCCTCCAGAAAATATCAGTTTACCGACAAACCCAGGAGCTTGCGCAGTGTAAGGAAGCCTGGTTGCCTCAGTTGTGAGGCGTTGCAACACCTAGCTAAATGCAGGACACTAGTTTCTTATTCGGCACAAACTCTGCTTCCAAGTTTCTGGCTGGGGCTCAAGTACCCATCCCTAAGCCACGTGCCCTAGAAAAACAGAGGAACAGCTCGAGGACGTTGAGCCGCCCCACTCCCCCACGCCCTTCTTCACTGAGACTACCTGCCCGGCTCCCCAGCCAAGCTCAGCCGGACCAGCCCACAGCCCAACACTCCCAGCTTTGCTCCCGGAACTTCCCCCGCCCACTGCCCACGTGACGCATCATCTCCGCCCTCCACCAATCAGCGACCACCCCCGCCTACCGGGGGTCTCCGCCGCTCCGCTTTTGAAAACGCAGCCTACGCCTCCTGCCCCAGGCCCCGCCCCTTTCCCGCCCCCAGGGCGCCGACCACGCCCACCCCCCTTCTCCGGGCGTCCTCCCTTCCCGGGCTTCGCCCCGCCCCGGGCCGCGCGCCCGCCCCGATCTCGCGAGATCTGACGTGCCCGCCGCGGCCTCCCGCCTCCCCTCCCGTCCTCCCGCCCCCTCCCCCATCTCTCCACTCTCGGCTCTCCTCCCTCCCTCCTCCCCCCTCCACCCTCTGGGCCGGATCTCGTCTCGCTGAGGCGGAGGAGGAGAAGGAGGAGGAGGAGGACGTTCGGCCTGCGCAGTGAGATGTTTGTCCGTCGCCGCCGCCGCCGCCATCGCGGAGGAGCGCGATAAAGGGAGCCGAGCCCGGCGCGAGGGGAAGCCCGCGGAGCCGCCGCGCCAGCGCAGCCCGAGCCCGAGCCGCCCGAGCCCGAGCCGCCGCCCCCGCCGCCGCCGCGGCCGCCCAGGGGCCGGCCCGCCGCCCAGCCCAGCCCGGGGGCCGCGCCGCCGCCCCCCGCCGAGCCCCGCGGCCGCCCTCCCGCCTTCAATGTGACACCGGCGCCTCGGAGTGCGAGCCGCCGCCGCCGCAGCCGCCGCCGCCGCCACCGGGGAGGGGCCGAGCACCATGTCGAATCTGAGCAAAGGCACGGGCAGCCGGAAGGACACCAAGATGCGGATCCGGGCCTTTCCGGTGAGTCGGTCCTCGGCGCCCGGGACCCGGAGCCGCGGCCGGGAGCCGCACGCGAGGCCGGGGCTGAACTCCGCCAACAGGCCGCAGCCCGCCTCCCCTCCCCCACGGCCGCCGGTGGCGGGGCGCGAGCCTTCCGGGCAACGGGGCGGCGCGGGCCGGCGCGGTCGCCTCCCGGGCCGTTCCTGGCGCCCCGGTGGCCCCGGGGCCTCCTTCGCGCCGGCCGCGGTGCCCCGGCCCGGAGGGGATGCGCGCTGCCGCCCCGGCCCTCGCGTGGGCCGTGCGTGTGTAACTTTTCGCCGGTGCTTTCCAGAAGGAGCCGGCTCGGCTTGGACGGCGGTGGGCAGGACCGACCGCCTCTGCCCCCTCCTCAGTCAGGAGCGGTCTCGCTGAGTATCCGCCTGCCCCACTCACTGACAGAATTGCCACGGGACGCCCCACGGCAAAACAGCGCCGAGCGTGGCGTCGACAGCATCTCTGACCCCGCAAAGCCTCCCGAGCACTTTGCCCACCCGTGCGGAGCATCGCCCCGCCGCTCCTCGGAGGGCCAGGCGCAGAGCCGACTCCGGTGGCACCCCCTTGCCTTTTCCGATTCTTAGCCAAGGAAGTCCCCAAGAGTAGCCGCCACGCAGGCCAGGTTTACCTTATACGTTTTGTTTTGTTTTGTTTTTTTAGCGACAGCAAACGTTTTCTCCTCAGAAACTTTTTCTCTTGCCGTTGCGTTGAGTCATAGGCTTTGCGGCGTTGAGTAGATGGAGGCTAACTTCGGATGTCATGCCTCCATCAGACATCAGACCGACAGTGGCAGGCAATTACAATGCCCTGTTGTAACAGCGAAACTGGACGTACTTGCTCTTGTCTCTGCAGTAACAGGTAGACGGCCAATGGGCAAGCCGGCAGTCAGCAGAGTTTTAAAAGAAAAACCAAGGAAAGTTGTTGTTTTTTTCTCTCCTAAGGCTCATATCCATTCTGTAGCGTGGGAGGGGAGGGGGGCTTTGATCATTTTTTTTTTTAATAGGCTTTAAACAGGCTATTCCTGAAGTACCCTTTGCAGTGAGGAAAGGGAAGGCAGACCACAGTGTTGTCCGAGTTGAGTAACTTTGTCCTGGAGAACGTGAGGGCCTCTGAATTCTTAATGTCAAGAAGAAGAGTACACAACTGATGCAGAATTGTGAATTTGCAAGGAACATATTGTCAGTCTGTAGAACTTGCACCTTTATATAAGTAAATGGGGCCTATGTAAACAGGGTATAATCAGGAGAATGAATTATTTTGGTATTAATTTCATTATGAGTGATTTGTTTTTTTAAAGGGTTACCTCAGAAAGTGAGAAATGCTGGGAAGACAACACTAATAACGTTCACTAGTATGTTTTCCTTTGTAATTGGGCAGTGGACTGGGTTTATGAATTTGAGTAATTTTCCTCCTGAATCAACCATCCAAGTGATTGTCAAATCTGATTCCATTCCGGGGGGGGGGGGGTGTTGTGTGGTTTTGTTTTTAAATCAATCGTGACACTGGTTTTATAGGACATGTTTGCTCTTGGTGCTGTTCTTTCTTGAAGTCTTTGTTGTTTAGTGAAATGTGGAAGACCTCATATCTGACAAGTTAATAGTTTTCAGAGTAACCAGTTCTGTCTTTATCTGTGTTTGTACCTCTTTGACCTCTGCATTTCCCTACTAGAACCTGTTTTCCTCTCCCCATTCCTTCATTGGTCCAAGATAAATTGAGTACTGTATGCAGGTACTGTTCATTCTTGGAGCTTTAGGATTTATCAGTAGATGTGTAAAGGCAAAGATCTTTGTTTTCTGGAGCTAGTATTAGGGATTGAAAGCAGGAGAGAATTTTATTCCATTAGCTGAGATGATAATAATGTGTGATAGGTTAGGTAATACATAGTACTGGAACTGAGTTTTTTTTTGTTTGTTTGTTTTTTTCCTAGTTCATAAGTAAATAACAGTCACAAGTAGTTCCCATTGAAAATAACCAGCCATTATTGAGAATAGATAAGGCTCCAGTGATTTTTCATTGACTTCTGGGAATCAAGTCCTTAGAATGTCAGACTTCCTTTCATCCAGATTAGTGGTCTTGTATGTAACTACAGCCCACGTGAACTGCTAGTCAGAAGTTGTAAATAGTACTTCATATACACAAAAATACCACTTAGGCTTATATATGTGTGTATTCCTATAGCTGGTGTATGTTACATCATGTGGATATATAGTTAGCTGTAACTTATGGCAGACTGTGTGTTAATCAAAAGTTTCAGTTGCTCATTTCAGGGTTTTTTTTTTTTCCCTGAAATAATTGAAATGTAAAAAGAATAAGTTTGGACTTGTTTCATTTTCACTGTACAATAGTGGTAAGTTACCTTACAGAATATCTCATATATTCATGGGTATTTCAGATACAATTTTACCAATCAGGTTTTCTTATGTTTTTAGTGTGTATTTTAAGTTTGCTTTCACATTATTCAGCAGAGTGAAAGCTACACTACATTAGCTTAATGCACAGTTACATTTTTTTCTGCTCCCCCAGTTTACATTTTTTAAGTAAATCTATAAAATTTATGATAAAAAAATTTCTGTACTTTTAGCTTTTGACAGAAAAAAATGTTGACTCTTAATTTTTATACTTTATTATATAGAGTGTAGCTTATTTTACATCTTTTTGTTGCTATTTTTTTCATTTTTTTTTTTTTTTTTTTTTAATGATGTGCATGTGGGTCTGTGCTTATGAGTGTAGGTGCCTGCAGGGGGCAGAGGAGTCAGATTCCTTGGAGCTGTCTGAACTACCCTTCCAGTGCTGGGAATCAGAGTGCAGGTCTTCTGCAAAATCATTGGGCACTTTTAACCACTGAGCCTCTGATCTAGCCCCTGTTGATAATAGTTTGTTTAAAAAAAGAAAAAGTGTTACACAAAGTATCAGCTGGGCTACAGAACTTGATTATTACTAAGAGGGGACATTACATAGGGATTTGGGCCAATAATTCCACTGGAAGAGAGCTTTTTTTTTTCCTTGCTGTTACCAAGTGTCTTCACTTGTCTACCCTTATATACTTGCTTGGGTTAATATTTCTCCGAAAAACCATTCCTCAGAATTTTGTTCAAATGGGCTTTAGCTTTAACAGGTGTGTTTGGACTTAGAGGTGTGATTCTTGAATGAAAATACTGTCCTCTGTCATTTATCATTCTTGGCTTCACTTAGAAGATTAGGAGACACTGTGAAAATCACTCTCTATGATGTGACCTGTCCCTCAAAGCTGCCATGGGTCCTGGAAGTAACTTCAGTTAGTAGTTTATGAATGAAGCATGCTAAATCATAACAGGAACAACTCTGGATGTAATCTGCTCCCTGATGTAGATGAATTTTACCTCTGCAAAATGGTCAGTGGATGTTTCCCACAAAGTGGCAAATGCTGAGATCATTCATGGCAAACAATAAAACATGAAGAGATAAGACAAGGATTTGAGGATAATTAATGTCTTTTCCTTCAGTTTCTAGTTACAGTAATATTTGCCAGGTTTAAGGGACACCTTTGATCTTCACAATAGGTTGGTTTCCTAGAGAAGGTACTTGTTACTGAGAATTCTGGACGGTATGTATAGGAAAGCTGATAACAGTCTTGATCACACAAAACCAGGAATTAACTGCTTTCATTCTGTGTTTCTTTTTACTTTTTAAAAATAATTATTTTTATTTTATGTGCATGCCTGTACATATCCCTGTGTGAGGGTCTCCTAGACCTGGAGTTACAAACAGTTGTGAGCTGCTTTGTGGGCGCTGAGTATTGAACCCCAGTCCTCTGGAAGAGCTGTCAGTACTTTCAACCACTGAGCCATCTCTTCAACCCCTCTGTGTTATTTTCTTACAGAGGAATTTATATCAAAATGCTGCTTACAATTAGACTTACTCTTTCTACTTAGTATTTTTGGAACAGTGTTTTATAGTTAGGAGTTAGTACATCTTTGCTTTAGAAATGATAAAATAAGAAAGCAACTGTTAGTTTTTACTGTCTTCTTAAAAAAACATTTTACTATATGAGTGTTTTATCTACTTGTATGTCTGTACCATGTTTGTGCCTGTGTGCCTGTTGCACTCAGAGGTCAGATCCACTGGAACTGGAGTTGCAAACAGTTGCTAGCCACCATATGGATTCTGGAACCCTGAATCCTCTTGTAGCTAGTGATCTTAACCATTGAACCCATCTTTCCAGGCTCCTTACTTTTAATTTTTTAATTATATGTGTGTGCTTGTGCCCATGAATGCATGTTTTCACGGAGGCCAGAAGAGGGTGTTGGATCCCTTGGAATTAGAGTTATGGGAAGTTGAGGAACCAAGCTGGGAACTTCTGTAAAAGCAGTGCATACCCTGTAACAGCTGAGTTAGCTCTCTTGCTCCAGTTTGTATATAACAGCAGATCGGAAGAGTCTTGGGAAAATTAGTACTCAAGCTGAATTTTATTGTTTGTTTATTTGTATATGAGAGAGAGAGGAAATGGTGTCTGGTATTTAAGTGTGTATGTGGTGTAGGCCATGTGTCTGTGGGTATATTTAAGGCCAGAGTACTTTGGATGTCTTTGTCTACCATTACCTTATTCCTTTGTGATATGTTCTCTCACTGAACCTGAAGATGGACTGGCAGCCAGTAAGTCCCAGGGATCCTCCTGTTTCCATCTTTCCATATGGCTGGGGTTACAGAAACTCATTCACACAACTATGCTCAGATATTGACGTTGGTACTGGGATCTGAATTCATATCTTTATGGAGCAAGCATTCTTGCCCGCTGAGCTAACTCATCTCCAACCCCACAAAGTTTAAAGCCTATTTGCACAGTAGTATAGTCCATAATATAAAATTTTGGCCTTTTTGCTTATAGTGCATTGATTTGGGAATTGATTCATTCACATAAAATAGTCATTTGTTTGAAGATCATTCACTAAATGTAGCTTAGTGGTAGTAGTAGTAATAACTTCCAGTGCAGGAAGAATATAGAATTATGG